AAGAATACTTTATCATTATCGCCATTATGCTCAGTAACCTGTAACATGCATTTGTCATTAGCTACTTCGCTTTACCCTATAGTCAAGAGTACCAAGCTTATATATTTATATATGTTATTATATATATTATTTTTATATATATATTATATTATATACATTATATTTATATATATTATTAACCTTATATTGCCATAATTTCGGTAAACTCTTAAATCGATTAAACCGATGTAATATGAAAGCTTCTTCTTTCATTGGCCATAACATAGAAATTCACACAGTTTGTTTACTATATCTCTTTATCTATATTACTCACCTAGCACAGGTGAAAGCGAAAGTATACATACTCAACCCGAAAATTCATTGATGATTCATTTAAAAATTGTATAAAAAAGATAATGCAAGTATGAACCTTTAGTGGAAGGAAGAATTTCTGATATCATTCTTTCATACTTGATAATGACAGTTTCAATCTAAGAAAAAGTAGATACTTAAAAGCTCTGCCCCATTCAGATATATGGTGGTTAATATTGCTATCAGAAGGTATTAGCTCCAAATATTATGTCAATATATAGCTTTTAACAAAATAAAATTGGCGATAACTTACAAGAATTAAAAGTTATATAAATTTTTAAATAATAAATTACACATAAATTTTTAGATAGAAACAAAAGATAATGTTTCCTATATAAATTACTAAAATAATATATCTTAACCATTAATTCTTAAATTTATCTACAACCCTACAAAATCATATGAAGATGTTTTTTAAAAACTAACTTTACTTTCATTCAACTTACATCTTTATCGTTTTTTTAACTTACTCGTTTGTAGTCTTTAAGCAATATATAATAGTTATTAATAATTATGGATTAAAGTATCTACAAAATTAAAACTAACATACTGAATCGATTTGAAAATAATGTTATAAAATTATTGAAAATCCAATAATCTTTAATTTGATATCTTCTGAACTTATCGGAAATCTGTAACTCAAGCAATGTTGCAGTATGTAAAACCACGTCCGAAAACAACGTATAAATTTTTCAAAACGTCATATCTCGAAAACCTATCCATAAACAATTTTTTTTTATATGAATTTCGAGTTTAGTGAACCAAAGTATTTAGGAAAAACATAGTCGCATTAAATGTACACAAAACTCATTTCACTCTTTATAATTCACAGAATGCCTTATATGTTACTAGTAACACTGAATGATTCAATAGACAATTTATATATAGGTATATTATCTTTAAGTACTTCCTAAAACATGCTTTACCCGTTGTGAAAGTTTTTTTTATTTTATTTTTATTTTAACAATATGTCTTTATTGAATCGCTTTTAATTAAAGCCTAACAGTGAGTTTTAGAATCTTAAAGACTGTTAACATTAGATTACAAATAATTTTATATAAACATAATGTAATAAATTATAAAAGGAATTGTTAATTATTTTAAAGGGCTTCTGAATAAGTAGCTAGGGCTTATTTACCAGATATGACGGCGCCTAAGTTAAATTAAATATGATGATCTTTAGGAAAGCAGGATGGGATGTCTATCATTGCGTTGGTTGTGAAAGTATGTAGCACAAACTTGGATATGAAAGTTACTATAGAGTCCCGGTTATACTATATATGATTTTAGTTAATTTGATCTATAAAAATAATAAAGTTGTCAAACTTTTACATAATATGCATCGAGTATTAATGAATTTCCATTGATATTTAATGTCAATAATCCATAATATTACAATATTACAATAAGTAACACTGAAACTATTGACAACATCTTTTATTTATTTTATTTCATCTCAGATGTGGTTTGGCCTACATACACCTTCCCTTAAACTGTAGAACAGTTGTTGATGTCCAAAATCCACCACACTTTAATATAATAATTGGTTAATTTTGAAGGGATATATATATGTCATATATTATATACACCCAACTCTTTTTTTACACGGTTTCTTTTTACACGGATTTGAAGTTACACGGTTGAAAAAAAAAATTTTTTTGTAAAAAATTTTTAATCTAGTACGGTCTCAAAATCACTGTCTTGTTTGACACTTGGCATTTTTTTTACACGGTTTTTTTTTACACGGATTTCTGAGGAACGTATCTACCGTGTAAAAAAAGAGTTGGGTGTATATGAATTTTATTCTATCATCGTAAAGAAAAAGTTTTTAACCAACTCTAAGCTCTTTATATAGATTAGACTTAATAGATTAATTGACATACCATAGAGTATTATTTATATTATTTATTCTGTTCTTTCTCTTATTATTAGAGTATTATTTATTCTGTTCTCTAGTTTAAAAAAAAAAATGGTTGGTATTACCAAAATAAAATTAAAATGAAGATATAATTTAAAAAAACGCTGTGAATAACCATATAATTTATTTTTTTCCTTAAAAACCATAGCATTCGAAAGATATAACCAAATAAAATAATGTTTCAATCAACATAGAGGAAATAACATCCGTTTACTTTATCAAGGTCCTGATATTCACTTTATTTTCTTCTATTGTCTATTGAACGTCTATCAAATTGAACGTCTACATATCTGACAGTTTTAACTATCTTCATTATAAACCAATTACACATATGTTTCAATCGCCATAAAAGAACGTGAAATCCGTTTACTTTATTTATGTTTTGATATCGTCTTTATTATCATCTTTTCTCTATTCCCATCATATTTAAAGTTTATATGCCTTTTACTCAAAAAGTACTCGGATTTTGTAAATAAGACACACAAATTTAAATTTTATTCCAAATTAATTTTATCTCTTCAAAATATGCTCTTTCTGAAACGATACACATATGCCAACGCTTAACCCAATCTTCCATACACTTCTCGTTGGCCCGTGAAGGTATGGCTTTTAATTCCTTCACCGAATTCTCTTTTACCGATTCAATCGACTCAAAATGCTTACCACGAAGGGGGAATTTGTTTTTCGGGAACAGGAAAAAGTCGCACGGATCCAGATCTGGCGAATATGACAGTGGTGCCGTGTTTGGTCAAAAAATCGCGTACAACGAGAATTTTCCATAGTAAAAATCGTTAAATGCACTTGAGGTAATTTCACATTAACAGCTGCTATAAACAAACTAATTGACAGATAGTGCTCAAATTTGTACCATGTGTCAAGAAAGGGTTTACCAACATAACAAAACAAAACGAAAAAGGTCTATTACTTAAGGAGTAGTTAACAAACAACAAAATCCGGATACTTTTTAAGGTATCCGACAAATTTAACTTTCTTCATTATAAACCAAGTGAATATAATTATTTTAATGGAATCGTAAATTGGTTGCTTTTTATTCCTTTTTACTACATATGTTATATATTTATGCAATGTGTATACGAGTATATAATAAAAAAAGTTATGTGTTAAAAATTTTCCAATTATTTTCAAAAATAAAAGATACATTTTTTTTACAGTATCTGCTGAATTTTTTTTAATACATTCATATATATAATATTTTATTTTTGAAAGATTAATAATAAAAATTTTTGCCTACGTATTTTTTTGGTGCTGCATGTTTACAAAATATACAATATATCAGATATAGCTATGTATATAGCTATACATACACCATATGTACCCGTACAGATTATCAATCTATTTTTTCTTTTAAAAATAAAGTGTGAGGTTTTTTCGTATTGTTCATTAAGTCATTGGCTAAAAAATTAACGCGTGTCATCCTTCTTTTATTTTTCATTCTTTATTTTGTTCCATTTCTTGATTTTATTTTTCCACAACTTAAAAATAAATTAGCTTGATAAAAACAAACTTGAAACTCTGAAATCATGTGATAATATTTTGACAAAAAGTATCTGTCATAATAAGTTTCGGAAATAGCTGATATTTTTAATGGGGAAAGGATGTTTTTTTTTGCAAATGAGGAACCAAACCATTATAATTTGCTAAAATATAAATATTTGCAATAAATATTAAAATGTTTACTTAAATGTTTGAATCAAAATAGAAAAACATGATTATCAACGTCATCAAAAGAAACTATGTCATACCCCACGTTCACCAAGAACACGTGTCGTATGAAATTGAAACATCTATAAAAACAACAGTATATACGCTCATATTTATCAGATGTCCTCTTTAATTTGGCAATTTCATACGAATGAACTTTTGTGCCAATGAAAATTGTCGTTAATTCGCTCAAATACTTTAAATTTTTCAATTAAAATTTTCAAATAAAAAATAATCAATTCAATTTAGCCTTGAACTTATGTTTATTTATATGTGTATATTTTAATAAGATTTGGTATATTGGCCAAATTTAAAGGAAACTGCTAAATCCGTACATATTCGAAGTGATGAAGTCAAGGAATCGAATAAATTCATTTCAACGCCATCTGTTGAACATAAAAATTATTATTTCCTCAATTTCCGTCTTGGCTTGGCTATAAGCAAATAAAATTATTCTTAAATTTTGTATAAAAAATATGAAATAAATTTAAAATATTATAAACCCATCATCCAAATATGAATCATCATCATTTGCATTCTTGTCATCCCTTTGTGTGGGTGAACGGCTGTAGTAATCTCAACCAATAATTGCAACAGATTATATATATATATAGATAAATATATACACATATACATATGTAAGACCACATAATTTTCTGAGAACTCAGTACCTATGTGTTACTAATTATAAGCTATAATTAACTAAATCAGTTCAGAGATATACAAAATTGAATTTTTTTAAAATTGGTACTCTGCCAAATGTTAAATGCAATTTAATGTTTATTTTTATTGTACAATGACGTTTATTCAATTTTACGTATACAAATGGGCACGTCGCATATACTATGACATTTGAAAATCATAAGGGCTGGTGGTGTGATTTATATATTTAATAAACAAGAAATTTGTTTTTTAAGTAATTCAATTACGTATATAAAAAAATTTTTATGTACTATATACCTTATATGTACTATATACCTTTATGTACTATATATCTTGTATATCTTAGGAAGATACTTCTTTGTTAGTTTATCAGACCATCGGTGAAGACGATAGACCTGTTAAATTATCTAAATTCGGCGGGATGGATTTAATCTCTACGCTTCTATACTAGGGTTCTTGAGAGGAATATGGTAGCAAAAGGGCGAAAAATCGTTAATTGAGGTACATGTAAGTTATCTAATGGCTTGCCACTGCAACCAACCAACCATATGCTATATACTATATACATTTCAGAAGAAACGATCAAAAGAAAAATTTTGAATAATATGAAATTTGATTTTAAATTTATTATTTAAAAAATATATACAATCACACAATCTGCAAAACAAAATCTATGTATTATTATATTATATGCATTGCAATTAAAAAAAATTCAGAGACAATATAAAATGCAAGTATACATCTTTCATATATATAATATAATTCTACAATTCGTTCGCCTCATCGTCCATAAATCCACAAAAGAAACCTATTTGAATGCTGTTTGAATTTGAATGATCAAAGTCCTGCATGTATATATTACAATTTATATAAGCTGATGAGAACAGTACAGTTGGGTTTATTTCTTTTTTTTGTTCTTGTAAACCAACTAAGGAAACCATAAATCAACTTTATGAAAGTATCACGAAGCATCGGTTAAAATAAAGATGTTTATACAATCATTGTGCTTCCTTATGGTTATTCAAATTTATATTCTTTATTCGTCTCCACTGAGTCTTTAGTCTGCGTTGTGATGTTATCACACTTGTTAAGTTCAGTGGTTTCCAACTGGTGGTCCACGGACCACATGTGGTTAAAAATGTTTAGTGAATCAAATTTAACAGGTATGGAGTTGTATGGTATGGTATAGCTTATAGTTTTCCCACTAAGACCTCACCTTTTAGAAAAAAAGCACAAAAAATTTTAAATTACTTAAAATATTCTTATTTTATAGCCTATATCATGTACCTATGCACTTATACAATTCAGAGATGCAGAAAGCATATTAAATTAATCATACAGTTTATTATTCTTGAAGTTTGTGATACCTGTTAAAAACAAAAAGTCATAGTGTCAAAATGTCATTGGTCAAAAAAAAAATTGTATTAATTTATATATTTTTAAATATATATTATCTTTAGTTTCCTAAAATCGATATTTGAGTTGAATTATCTACTTATTTTTTCAACAAAATCTGCAAATATTTATATTTTTCTTATCCAATCTAACAAATTTATATTTTTTGGCTAGTAAAAAAATTTATAATAAAGAAAAAATTTAGATAAAAATTTTTCTTAAGACAATAGTTAATATATTGTAAAAAAAATAAACTATGATATATTTTTATAAAAATGTAGTTTACCAAAAAAAGATCGAAAATTTTTCAAAAATAATTAATTAATTTTAAACCATCATAATATCTAAATCCATTTATATTAAAAGACATGTCAAAAACAATTTTGATCATTTAATAGACTAAAAGCTAGTTTACTTATAGTATTACTTATGGCTATTTAATATATATAGATATTGGTTATTTTTTACTGGTCATTTTTTTTGGATTTACTGTTGTCTGACATCCTGTATCTCGGTAAATACTCATACTTTTTGACAATTTCTTAGACAAAAAAAATATCTCTGAACTTTATAAAATGCCGTCAAATAACACATACTATATATTAATTCTCATCAATATGCAAATAAGACGATTTAAAAGTATTTATGGTCTAAATGTGATAGCCTTTAAATAAATAGATAATCTATGGTTAATATATATAATCATATAATCTGTATATACTTCAATCATATTATTCACTGTTATGGGTATTTGTCCTATTTTATAGATATGAGCCAATGAATTATTTTCTTTACTTAAATAAAGAATACATCAGTACAATTATATTTGACAAGTGGTACCACTTTGGGAAATTTGTTGGAAAATTATATTTTTTTTCCAAGAAACTCTATAATTACATATTCAAAATACTTAGTAATAAATAATAATCTTTGAACACTGAAGTTAAAGCTCCCTTATATCCCTTATATAACTTCAGTTTTATTTAAAAAAGAAAAAGTACGTACTAAATATAACTAAATATAATAAATTTAAATAACTAAACAGTAATACGAAAATTTTTAAAAGTTTAATAAATGTTTATAGATTTTTTTGTATATTTATCAAACCAACAAATTCTTTAAAATAAATTGAATGAAATAATCATTGATAAGTTAAATTTTTTAGACTACACATTTTTTTCGAAATATTTTAGTGTTTTTTTTATTTAATGTGTTAATCTTTTTTATGAACAAAAATTTTTTATTTTTTTCTTTGCCAACCCAAAATATCGACTTCTGACGTCAACCTCAAATTTTTATTATTGTATTTTTAAATCAATAATTACAAAATCGTTGTACAGTTTCATGAGTTACTAAATTGATAATTAAAAAAATTTATACTAATTTATTAATTAGATTAGACTATTGAATTTACTTTCTCTTACAAAAAAAATATTCTTAAAAGATTTTTTTTCCAATTTTGAAATCTTGAAAATCAGCCAATGAATGTTTCTTCAAATATCCTCAGCAAAAAAAAAACTGCCATTGAGGTATACACCTATAGTTTGCTTCTTTAAAATTAAAAAAATTAGTTGAAATTTATTCTACGTTTTTATATTAAATAAAAGGGCTTTAAAATACTAAACTTTAATTATAAATATTTTTCAAATCAAAGCCATTGGAATAAAATAATTTATTTTTAATTTGTGTAAAAAAAAGTAAAAAAAAGAATAAGCAAGATCTGAACACATTTTTTAATTCTTTATATTTGCTTATTTTATTTATATATATATTTTATTTAATTGTATTTTTTTTTTTTTGCTTATGTTTTATGTTTTTAAAAATTCTTAACAATTCAATTCTATTTTCTCCTTCTTCTTACCAGTTCTTATAAACAATTTCTTAGTTCTTGAGTTTTGATATAACATACATATACATTAGTAAAAAATTTATATAAAAATATTTAACTTTTTATTATAAAAAATATTTTATTCTTGCACACATTCAAAAGTTTGTTGTTTTGATCGATTTCAATGTATGAATTCATAAACAAAGAATTTTTTGTTTTCTTTCTGCTTCTAGTAAAATCAAAACCGTTGCAGTAAAACGTAAATGAACGGTCCCGGCGATATACCACTGACACACAGTAGTACGCCAGATACCAGGCCCTGCAGTTTAATATCAATAATACCAACATTAGGCATGTCATCATGTCGTGGTAGAGCTGAGGCATTTGCACGGAGATTATCCTCCAAGTTGCGCACATTGGGTTCACAGGTAATTATTATGCCTTAATAATAAAATTATTAACAACAACTTTAATTATAAATCATTGCAGACAGACGATGATCCCACATCACAGGAGGACGAACCCATCATAAATGGCAACGTTAACAACACATGGATTAGTTCACATGATAAAGATCAAACAGTAACCGATTTGCAACCATTACGTCATGAATCGGACTCATTCTTTGATTTTGATTGTGAACTTGAAAGTCCAGGCAGTCCAGTTGATGAATGCGAATACCTACGTTTAATTGAAACAGCCTCAAATACTCCTCACAATTCCGTTGCTGAATCTGGTTATGTTTGTGCTTCAGCAGCTAGCAGCCACAGTTCAACAGATGCACCTTATTTCGATATTGTCAATGCAGATAACACTGTAGAAACACAACAACCAACACACACCAAACTAACAGAACAAGAGCTATCCGACTTTGTTCATTCACCAAAAATAAATGGATCTGACGAAAGACTATCCAATGGCCATGATGAACATGACTTAGACAACAATGATATAGAAAATTATCATCATTATTCGGCGCAAGATGAAACTAAGGGTCAAAATGAAGAAATCTTGGCATTGCCCACAACTGGGCTAGATGATACAACATTATTACCTCCTGTCAAATCACCGGATAAATTAGCAACTGAAGCAACAACGCAAGAACTGAAACGTATGCAAAATGATATAATAAATGAATTACAAAAACAAAGTGAGCAATATAATGAAGAAAATAAGGCAGCTAATGAAAATGGACAAATTCAACATACTAGTACAACAGAAAATGGACAATCTGAACAATTAGACGAGCTTGCAAGCAATGGAAATGTAAATGAAACTATACCAGTTTTAACGACAATTTCAAATGGTTTGAATGAAGAGGGTGAAGAAGTATTGAAAATCGAATTGACTGAAGTCGACAATGCGTTGCAAATACAATCAGAAACAAAAACAGAACAATTCAAAAACTTAACTGAAGAAATACAAGAAAGTACGCAAGAACTCAAAGCTACACAAGAGGAAGAAAGTAAAGAAAGTCCGACAAAAAATAAGCAGAGCACGCATATATTGGATACAACTGATGATGAAGATGATTGTCGACCACAACGAGTACGTCGTTGTTCTTCATTGAAAACTGGCAAAACACCACCGGGTACACCAGGACGAAAGAAAATCGTACGTTTTGCCGATGTACTGGGTCTTGATTTGGCAGATGTGAAAACATTTTTAGACGAAATACCAACTATACCAAAATCTGCATATGAAGATCTAGAAATTCTAGAATCTGAACCACCCATACAACTTGGACCTAAATCTGATAAACTCCTCATGCCATTATTTCAGCAACCAGGTGGATTGCCAAGATTTCTCGACATTGTACGTGAAAAACAAGTATCGCTGGAAAACGCAGCTGTTACTGATCATATTAATCAAACTATTACCGGTTCAGTACGTGTACGAAATCTTGATTTCCATAAATCAGTTCACATACGCTATTCACTTGACGGTTGGCGTAGTTTTGCTGACTTACAAGCAAACTATGTAGAGAATTCCTGTGATGGCTTTTCAGACAAATTCTCTTTTATTTTATTTGGCAATACATTACATATAGGACAGCGTCTAGAACTCGCAGTGCGATTTCAATGTAAAGGCCAACAGTTCTGGGATAATAACTACGGTGCAAACTATTGCTTCCAATGCTTGCCAACATCGACACCAGGTTCCAATCCAATTACACCAATTGTCGCAACACATCACAGTACTCACATTGTAGGCTTACTAAGTCCAACAGCTGGTGATGCTTGGTGTAGTTCATTTTATTAATTAGTAGTTGAATTTTCTTTTATATAATATATATATACGTGACACACACACAAACACGCGTACACATATATTTAAAGAAGTGTTGCACACTTAAGTAAAATATATGAGATATCGTTGCAGCTAAGGAACTTAAGTTTAATAACTGAGCAATAGTTTACCGTGAAAGTTCCTGTGCACTCCTCTAACAAAATGAAAATAAGAACAAAGTTTAATTATATTTTTATAGTAACAAATGAGAAACAATAACTTTTATAAAACAAAAATGATATTAAAATCTTGTTAGTTAACAAATGAAGCGAGTCCCAAAGATAGAAAATAGTAGTAAAGTGATATAAAATTTATGTATTTATATATTTTTATTTCAAATTTTTCGTTTACGTAATTGTTTTATTTAAAATTATCTTATTTTTTTGCAATAATTTAGTTTAGTACTTCAATACCTAAATGCAAACTGAGTAAATTGTAATGTTTAACCATTTCTCTATAAAATGTAGTATTGTAAATTAAAGAAAACTAAATAATCTCAAATGAAAAAATGAAAGAAAGAAATTAAAACTTAAAATATTTAAAAGCTTAATTTGCATATGGAGAAAACTACATACTATTTCAAACTATACGTATATGGTTGGAAGGCTATCTGAATAGCAATATCCTGTGTCAATAAATAAAACAAGTTCCAAAAAAAAAATTCTTATAATTTATAAATAATTTATTTTGTTTATTTTTCTTGTTTTGTTTTTGCTTTCATATTTCTTGTGTTTTATAAATATTTTTAATTTGAATATATTTATAACTGTTGCACACATACTGACTTCATATATGTATGCATATATGTGTATATGTATATGTCAATCGTATATATATAAATATATATGTCATATGCAAATATATGTAAATATAAATATTTTATTTTGTTATAAGTTTTATTTTTAACGACGCATATTTTGTTAATTTTTTTTAATTTTGAGTAAATCAAATGTATTTTTATTATTATCAATATATATATTTTTATATTTATTATTTTAAGCAAAATATATATGAATATGATTTTTCTTTTAATTTTTAAATTAAATATAATTATATACTATACAATATACAATAAATATAAATTAATAGTCATTTGTGTTTTTTAATTATTCAGTTTTTTTATGTCTTCTTTTGGATAATTTGAAGTAGTTACATATGTTTGTTTTTTTTTTTGTATTGTGATTTTGTTTGTTTGTTTGTTTTTATCTATTTATTTAATGTGTCATATACTTAAAGGATGTAATACCATATAACACTAAGTATAATTCACATTAGTTAAAAATAAATTGAAATAATATAAAATGCAAGTAAAATAACGAGAAACATGGCTAAAAATTAAAACAATAATGTTTTTGTCAAATAATGTTTTTGGGATGTTTTAAATATATTTTAATATATAGCTGTCGAACAAAAGTGAAGTACAATAACAAAAATTCATTTTATATTATTTTAATTAATTGATTAATTGGGTATTGCCAAATACCCATCATCAGTGGTCTTGGAAATAATTCTAATTATTATTATAATTTAGTGCCCTGCCAACTTTAAAGCTCAGAGTCAGCACACCTTAACCAACTGACCCAAAGCCGTACTTGACTTTTATGTGCGAACATTTTTCTGGAGTTTTGTTACTTTACTGTTGTTTACAATATTAATTTATCCAACAGATGTTTTGAGTATTGGGTATTATCTTTCATAAGTGAACTTTTTGGAGATGTTCCTTGCGTTTAATTAATTGTAAATAATTATTCATGCTGCAAGTCCTAAAGGATTTACTTATCTCATGTCACGTTTATTAGCAGTCAGACACAAAACTTGATTTGTATTGCTCTAACTTGGAGTATTTTTGTTTGCAATTTTAGAAATTTCTTACGAATAATTAAGAACAACACTGATGTTGGGTATTTGGGAAGACTTAAAACAGCTAATGGTTAGCCAAAATTTCAATAAATCAAATAATATAATTTTATTGCAAATTTTTTTTTTCAATATTTTTGCTCATTTTTGCTCTTACAGATCTTATAGATCTGCTATATTTTTTTAACTAGCACTTTATTTATTTTTTATTCATATTATTATTTTATTAATTTATTATTCATTATAATTTTTTTTGTATTCCAAAACTTTTAAATACTTATAGCTGACACTCTGACTGTTTTGAATTTTTTTTTTTGAATAGGTAAAATTTTAATAGAGAATGTTATTTAAGTACTATCAGTACTAAACTCTTTTTTGAACATTTTTTCATATATTATTCAATGCTAATATCTCGCATTTTGGATGTGGTTTTAATCCTTTGCTTCCACTTTTCTTACTTAGATTTTACTGTTATTAAGTGACACTTTAGTGGTTTTTTTGTTTTAAATTATTTTATTCCATTTTTACAATTATTTTTTTAATTGTATTAATATTTCATCAAAGCTGAGACTTATATTTTTTCAGTACACTCAGCTGCTAAAACAAAAATATCTACAACTAAGCAGGCAGACTTTACAAGAAGAATATTTTAATAATTATTACTTGACTTTATTACTTTAGTAAATAATTTTGTGTAAATATTGGATAACCTAACGGCAAGTCATGACAGCAATGAATTTTGAGTGAGGAATCTAGTCCATAGGCTAGATCTAGTACATAGACAAATGATACATACTTATCTTTTGCAAAGATTTATAAACAAGGGCTTACTTTTTTTATTAAATGTTATAATAATCAAATAAACAAAAATATGTTGCTTTTTAAATGATTATAGAGAATTCCAAAATATAAAGAAAATAATTTTTTATGCTGATTTTAATTGAATTCTTACAATAATTTAATTTTTTTTAAAGCAATGAAATTAGCTACATATATGTTGTTGACATGCTATAATAATAAAAAAAATATATATGTACGCTAATCCAGTTATGAATTAATTTCTACTGATTTCGTCTGATTTATGTCGAAATAGCAAAGTTTTCTGAACAAAATGAGATTTAGGTATCAATTTGTTACCCTATAAGTTTTAACTACTACTATTGTTTTAAAAACTTCAAGGAGTTAAAGCATCTAAAGTCTAGTTCAAGCACTTTAAATTTTCGAAAATGTTACAAAAGCTTTAAAAATCTCCTTTAAATTTGATTTCATACAATCAAAATAAAGGGAATTTGATAATCTAATTTTTATCAATAAGTTCTATATGTCTTTAATATAACTGCATACTATTTTCTCTGCCTATGCTTCCCCTCGGAGTTAAAGTATTCAATATATATATATATATATATATATTTTCTCTCTATTATTTTATAGAGTAATTTATTATTTTATATAGTAAAGTTAAAAAGACTATTTGGTTTCCGATCTGCACACGATGGCAGCAATATAAAATAATACATTTTTAATTTTAATTTATAATTACAGGATGTTACATTTTTATTGTACATTTTTTTTTTAAATTAAAATCAGGATCGTTTAGTTTGATGCTATAAAATATGTACTAACGAGTTTTATATGCTTAGAGGTTCTACAGAGTAAGTTTTAAAATGTATATAAATTCTTTCCTATTCGTTTAAATTCTGTTTATATTATGGGAAGTGAAATCCAAAATCAAATAAAATTTTTGTGAATAAAGTAGCATTTAAATTATGTATAAAAATAGCTGTATTTTCTATATAGTTTTATTACATTTTTTTAATTTTTTTTTTAAATTTTAAAAATGTTTGTACTCCAATAATTGAGTATTTTTAATATTTTTATTTATTTTTTTTTTAATTCTATTTTATCACAAACATCTTTTTCTTTGAATTTTTTCTTTTTGTAAACAAAATGTTTTTCGATTTAAATTCAGAATAATAATATCATATTTCAATAATAATAATAATATTTAAATTAATATGAAATATTAATTTGAAGTGTACAAAATTGTTACAGCAGAATCACAAAGTTTTTACCAATTTAAAAAGTTGAATTAAACGAATTATATATCACGTAAAATTATTAGACTTAGATTTAATTAATTATACATACCATACACGTTCAAAAACAATCAAATCATAGTATAGATAAAAGATAATGATGTTTTTGTTTATATTGAAATACTTTTATTGCATCCGATATTTGTGAAGTGAAGTGACTCGAACTGAATTTGAATAATTAATACAAAATATAAAATTTGCAATATTTATTGAGAAAATTAATTGCCATTTTCAATATTTATATAAAATAGTTAAAAAATATATATAGATAATTTTCAACATATGCATATTATTTATAATTAATATATAAGTTAAAAATTATTACTGAATATATAAATTGAATTCTGTAAAATAGTATATATATATATATATATAAAATTTATATACCAAAGTAAAGACGAATAATATGTAAACCAACTACCTCAGCGAACAACTAAACTAATAGAATCATTGCCAAGCAAATAAAATATAAAACTACATTTATTATATACATATATATATGTATATAGAGATATAAATATGTATATGTGTGTTATTTGACTTTAAAAGTTAAAAAAAAAATAAATAAAATATTATATTTATATAAGTTTTCATAAGAAAAACAAATGTTATACAAATGAATAAGCAAATTATAAGGAATTTAATCCAAATAGATTAAATGGCTTTTTTGTAACTTAAACAATATTAAAGTTCAGAAAATAAACAAAGTAGTGAGCTATAATTTACCACAAAAGTAATGAATACTAAGAACTATTAGACGTAGCCAAAGGCTACTTGGTTGATTTTGTGACGGACTGAATTGTTGCGAAATTCTAATGATTTCGGGAATAATTCATACTGTACTGTACTGTGATTAGAAGTGAAAATAAAGTAAAATAGCAAAAGAAGCTTTGAATGTTAGAGTTACTTTAATAAATTAATAAACAAAAAATGATTTGATAGAGATAATAAAATTATGTAAGGTTATAGACAGAAGCAAATTGAAATTGTTAAATTGAAAATATGTACAGAAAAGGTATTGTTAAAGTTGAAAAATATTTTCCCGTAAGATATGTGCATGTTAAAAACAATTATTTTAACCAAAATAAAGAATTATTACTTTAAATAACAAATAAAATTTTTAATTATTATACACTATTATAGAAAAATTATATAAAAATGATAAAAACTCTATCCTAACGATTTACCAGAACAAAAGATCAACTATGGTCGCTGTGCTCCGCTTCATGCAATTTTCATTTCGCATTGAAAGCAACAAGCTTTGACAGTTAAAATTACCAACATGACAGTTAAAATTAAAAACAAAACTCTCTATTTCTATTCCTAATGTTTTCAGTGAAACATTACTGCGTAGAATCTACTGAAACTTACTTCATATTCACTATGAGAAGAGATCCTTCCCAAGATCATAGTTTTAAAAGCCTAAGTAATTATAACAGCTAAACTAATGGGTTACTGTACAAATCACAACAGCTATCGTTTAAAGATCATATTATATCATTAAAAGAATGAAAACATTATCACCAAATGTAATGGGACATGTGAGAAGTTTAGTGCGCTTGCTATAACTTCGGTTTACAGCGATTTTATTGTTGATATGAATAAACTGATCAATCATTTAACAAAAAAAATTAAAAAATTATTTCCTTAATTATATACAGTGACTTTAAAATTTTTTTCTGTGACTGACGAAGTTAAAAATGTGACCAACTCCTGCAAATAAAATAATAAACTTTTTAATGTTATTGTTTTCTTGCCGAAAGTGAAACGTCTTATGATGAAAATAAACTGTTTAAAAGTTCGAATAGAAATGAAAAGACAACAACAAAAATTTTAATTAATTTATTGAAAGTACTCATAATCAGTAGTCTTAGGAAATACACGAATTTTTCAAAAATTTTCATGAAGTATCTAAATAGAACTTTTTGAATTCCGCCTTTCGGCGACTAAAAATTGAAATAAGACTCTTGAGGTCTTGAAAGACATTAAATAATATGCATTCAGATTTAATACTTAAGATGTAGTATTTTAAACTAATGTTCCTTTTAATCAAATTATTTAAAATTCGGATTTTTCAGCAAATATGTTATGAATATCGTAATTTTTACAAAATAGGTAGAACTATTTGGATATACGTTAGGTATCAAATAGTTCGAATGCTAAAAAAATGTATGTAGTTCGTATTAACCAAATATTTGAAATATATATGTATGTTATATAGATTGCGGGTAAATTTTAAAAATGAATAAAATATTATAACATTTAAATAAACAACAATATTAAGAAAATCATAACCTTAGCAATAGAACCTAACAACTGAATGGATATTTTTTCATACAAACAATTAAATAATAGCTCTGTATATATTGTACAGAGTTATTTGGTTTATTTTTGATCTTCTAACCACAAACAAAGCATCTTATGATTGTTAACTCCATATATTTCATTTGATTACATTATTTCAAATAATACAATTTTTAGTCACAGTAATAAATCTAATAATTTATTCTTCGTTAACAATTTTTTTTACATTGACTAAGGAATACAAAATTTAATATAATTTACAAAATATTAAAATTGGTGATTTACTTAATTTCATTAAAGCTCTCTAATTTTATTAAAGCATATTATAAAAAGCGGTTGTATTAATATTTTACATTGCTCAAAATGATTGAAGTACAATATTTTGGTTGGAAGCTCTTATTTACTAACTGATTAAAATTATTATATTACAGCTAAATACGTCACAACATATATGTCTATATTTAACAAGGAAACCTGCTTATAAAGCTATTATTCTTACGTTATCAGATATAATACATAAATTAATTAATATATTCTAACATTTTATTATATGCAACTATATTTTTGTGAAAATAATCTTAAATAAACTTTTTAATATAATAATTTAATATTCTTGCAAATAATAAAATAAACAAAATGAAAATAAAATAGAGATATTTAAAATAAATTAATTTTTAAAACAATCGTTTGTAATTTCTAGCTAATAGTCACAATATAACCAACTATTAAGTTTCTACTAGTAAACTTTAATTTCTGAATGGTTCCTAACTTCAGTTTTTTCAATGCTAACATTTTGTACATTATTATTATTATTATAATTATTTTGTATTTTTAATGTTTCTTGAAGTATTTGCACATTTATTGTCATTTAATTACAATGTGTGCTACGCAGTTTTGTTTAATTTTGTATGTAATAAATACTTATATACCATATATATATATCAAATTCTAATAACTATGAATTACTCATACTATGATTGTTATTGTTTAATCTGTTTACTGCTGTAATTATATTTAAGTAATATTATAAATATTTTTAACATTTTACTTAACTGTTGTCAACAATAATTAACAAACATCGTCAATTGGATCCTCATCTTCCAAATTCGTACACACTTCAGCAAAACTATCTTCTGGTAAATCCGGATAAGAAACAATTCTATAAATATAATTTATATTATTTTTTAATTTATCACATTCTTAATTTTTTTTATATATAAATAATTAATTATTACTGTTCAAAATCACATTGTGGTACTAATCCATCCACTTTTGCACTACTCCTGAATCGTATAATCGTGCATAAACGTAACACAGCCAAGAAAATTAGTAAGACTCCAGCCACATAACTTAACCATAGATTGTGAGGCCACAATAAAAGGGCAATTCCTATAGCACCGTAAATAGGTGCTAATCGCCAACCTCCAATAACCTTACAATCATGCCAACGCCTTAACCAGAAGGTATAACTATCGCTGCATAAATTAAAAAGAATACATATTTTTAAAACTTGCGTTTATAAATCGAACATATTTTAGAATAAATTTATTGATATTAATACTATAAAAACATTATTTTTATTTGCTTTAGAAAACAGCTTTAAGCTATTGTTAATATACATATGATTTATTTATTTTTTTTTAAATATTATTATTACAAGACATCGTTACCTGCCAAACAGAAGGTGCAGAAATAGTGTAATAATCCATTTAACTTCTAAGAAGAAAATGACTATAGAAGAAATTCTGAAATATTTTTGTAGTTATAAATATTGTTTATTACATTTCAAAACAGATAAGTGTTATTTACAATATATACAATCCAGCACTGTAGCCATGGTAATAAACATCGACGCCAACGCCGCAAATTGCTACGAATAAAAGATAATAAAATACCAAATTTATTATTAGGAATATTATTATTGTCCTGTTGATAAAACGAACAGATACATAAATATATAAATTATTACGAAATATTTTTGATACACACTAAATAAAAATACAATTGCCGTTCGTAATGATTCTGTTCAATTTCTGTACAGACGTACTAAAAATTCATTTAAATATCCTATTTTGCAAGGAAATTAACTTTTGCTGTGACATCATTTCACCATCTTTGCAAATTTTCCGCAAACGGAAGAGGATAATATTTTCAGTTGAGACTACATATTTATTTATACTCCATAAAATATTTAAAATACTTGATAACAGATTCTACATAATTAGTTGTATACTAAATAAATACAAAAAATTTTTTAAATAAACTTAAATATGAACATATTAAAAACAAAAACGTGTACATATAATTTTAGGAGGGTATTGCACTAGATGTAGCAAGATTCGTTTCACAAATTTTTATTATTGTTTATTTTTATCATAATCTCCCTCTTCTTAACCGCCTCGATCAACTAACTTCCACATTTATCTCCATCTGATGAAGCTCCATCCTTTGCCACTGTGAAACGCTGGTACTCGTACAATAATTTTAATCGTGACGGAGTTTGTTCACTAACAAAATTCGTGAAGATCATCCAAAATCAGTTGATGTACCAGAAAACATTGATACTGTGCAAAATCTGATAACGCAAAATCGTCATGCGACTTACTGTGAGATTGAGGTGAAGGTGAAACCAGCATATATGAGATATTGCACGATAGTTTAGCCGTGAGAAATGTTTGTTCTCATTGGATCCCCCATCTAATTTTGATTTGACAAAATCTTAAAAAAATGCTTATGTCGATGGCGGTGCTTCAAAAGACGTATATAAGATTATAACAGGTGCCTAATTATGGATATATATGTATGAGCCAGAACGTAAACAGCAGTCGAGCAATCGACTGTATGAACCAAATCCAATAAAAATTATTCACGCTCGAAGCACTTCGAAGCAAATGATCACTTGCTTTTTCGGGAAAAGTGGTCATATGCCACCTACTAGTATCCCATTATAGGAACGTAAAACGGGCAACTCCGAATGGTATACAACCATTTGCTTATCAGAATTCTTCAGTAAAATACGCAAAACAAACAAGCGCCGTCGGATCATTCTCCATGAAGACAATCCGAGTGCTCACACTTACAATAGTCTAACAACCAAATTGTACTTAACACAAATATTTGAACAATCAAAAAATCGAATTGATCGGTCATTCGCCGTACAGTCCTAATATCGCACCCGAATATTATTTCTTGTTCCCGAATATCGATAATGAATTGCGTGGACAACGATATTTTTCGGCGGGAGAAGCTGTTATTGTATTTAAAAACTATGTTTTGGATGTGTCTAAAGAAGATTGGAAAAAATGCTTAGATAAATGGTTCGAACGCATGCAAAAGTGTCTTAATCACAAAGGAAAATACTTCGAGAAACAATAAAACAATTTTCAACAACAAATTAGAATTTCTTCATTATTAGACTCAAAATATAAATAGTGACCCTCGTATGCTTTTTTCTCTTTGAGGAAAACTTCCCACTTTGAAAATAATAAGCAATTGCGTTGGAATAGATTTTTTTATTGTAATTATGCTAATTGTAATGATTAATTTATTCAGTTTCAGTAATGTTGCATGCTTTGTTCACGTTTAAAAGTGGTCAATCTGCAATATGCCCTTACTATCGCAAAAAAAAATAGTAGCAATAATATTCCCAGTTGGAAATATAGTTATATATTTTATATTTTATCAACAGTTATAAGTTTGTCCAAAAAATCTAACATTTTGCTTTAAAATTTTGTTTAAAAATTGCATTTTTGGTAAAAGTTGCAATCGCAATGCTTAAAAGCCTTACCCATAATTAAGTTCTTCAAATCCTATTAAAAAAAATTCTTAAAATCTTAAAAAAGTTTATTGTTTTTATACAATAATCATACAATGACATGTGATGCACAAGTATCATAATATTAAATCCTAAAACTCAATAACAGCGCGCTGCTTATGTTAATTATTTCCTTTTTAAAAACATTTAAAATCTGCTGGTGAAAAAATTAATAAAAAAATCAGCCAAGTTTAATTTTTAGTCAAAACGGCTTAATTGGTCTAAATGGGTTTAGAAAATGGGTTGTAGTTTAATTTTACATGCAGAATGGGTAACCATTCAACAGGGATCCACGTAAGAAGAGCTTCCGATGGTGTGCATTGTTATTGTCCCTTCAAAATGGATTTTAGAAAAATTTTGCAATTAGAATGGATAACCGTTCAACAAGGTATCCAAAAAAAAATATTCTCTGCACTTCTGTTGGATAAAAAGTTTAACTATTTGGAATATTCTGAAAAAATGTTCAAGAATACATAAAGCCTTGTGATAGCCTTTTACCAATTTAGTAAATAATATTAATCTTATCATTATATTAATATATTTACGTTAAAATATAATTTGAATTAATGTTTAAATTTATTCAAACCAATTAAGTTACAAAATCTATTAATAAAAAATGTGTTAATCGATATACAAGCAATTAATTTTATTGTATTCATTTGCATTGTAATGAAATAATAAATTAATATTTGATGAATCGCTATATTGTAATTACTTTGTTGCTTGTTGTAATAAAATAAACATTGCTAAAATTGACAGAAATAGTAACGTATTAATTGCATTAATGAATCGGGTCAAAGTGTTATTTACAATGTATGCATGAAGGCACACTTTTTCAATATTTTACAATAATAGTGTTTGCATTACGAAATACTTTAACTAATGGAAATTCTATTCAAAAACATGATGTAATAAGTTTTAATCAATTCCAAAGACTTTATCAACTTCTGAAAATTTATCCATTGAATAAATTAGAAAACATGAAACTAAAACGACAAACGTTAGTTCCTTCGCTTCAGTTCAATCTAAAACACGCATATTTAAATCGAAAACATTTTAGATAAGAACATTCAAAGCAAACATGTATGTTACTTATGTATATATTATTTTCTAACTTAAAATAGAACATGAATGTATCCACATGTGCATACATAAAGTAGCAAAATTGACATAATCGAATTTAGAATTCAGACAAACAACTTAATTAAGTTGTTTTCGCCTGTTAAAGATTGCTCTGATAAGTCAGATTGGCTTATATCCTCAATCTAAGTCAATTCAATTACATTAAGCTGATTAACAACTGCAATAACAACGCAACTAAGGCAAGCCAAAAACAATAACTGCTTTGCCCTATTAGAAAATAATACCAACCGCGCTAAGTAACCTCCCGAGTACGAGATATTTAACCGGAACTAGTTACAAAATCCAATCGATGTCTGATGTTTGATAGGATCCTCATTATGCAACGAAGATGTCGACGCACGTACCACATGCCAGCCAGACTAAAACAAATATTTTTGGAAAATATGCGCCATTTTGTTGCCGGTATGTGTGTAAGTTTATTGTTAGTTTGTTGCTATATGTGTACGCTACAGTTCGTATGCGACGAATAGCACACAAACGTATGCAATCAGCACTCAAACTCTTGTATGCGGTACGACAATTTGTTGGTAATAAATTTTGGTATATCTGGCGCCAATATTACAACAATAACAATGTAATTCAAACAATAACAACAAGTAAAAACATATTGAAAAATAAAATTTTATGGAAGTAGGAGTCAGTAATCCTTGTTGTGTGCATTAAGCAGTATTTTTTAAATTATCTACAAAAAATAATTTAGTAAATATATTTGTGTATGATACTTAAAATTGGCAGTTCAGTTTGTTTTATAATTGATATTTAATAATGAATGAAATTAATATTTAATTATTAAATTTTTATGTAAATTAATTAATATTAATACAAAAAATAATTTATGTTTAAATTTATTTTCTCGTTATACGTATAATATATGGATTTTCTGGCAGAATAATAATTTCTAAATCAATAAAAACTAAATTACAGGTATAATTTACTTTCATCATATTATTAATAATTTTACTAGTATTTAATAAAATGCAAATTTTTTTAATTATCGTACACAAAT